CCCTAGCTTATGCCAAAAGTGTTCACAAAGTGCCAGGACTTTGTTATTCCAACTCTTACGCGATTGAGGAAGACAGCAGCATTGTGTCAAAGCCACAAGCTAAGATGGGCATTTGGCAATCAACCCTTTGTCTCTCAGGTCCTTAAAAAGACAATTCCCCCTTGGACAGCTGAAGTCTTCCAGGACCTATCCCTGTTGGGGATGTGGTATTTTATGAAGCAAGCTACTATTCACCAGAGACTTGGCTGATAGGATCAATTTATTTAAAACATCAGGTTCTTATTTGAGTTATAGTGGTTAGATGGAAGACTTGCTTCCTTTTTGCCAAACCACCAGCTTGTTTGAATTAGAGAGTTCTGAATTTATAACCAGCACTCCCATTCGGAGGCTCCAGGAAATAAGGGAATTGCTTGAAGAAAAACACAGTTATTAGTTCTTAAATGCTGTAACTCCTGCATGCCAGCAAAGAGACTGTTTGGAAATGGCCTAAATTTAGAACCTGTCCACACACTGCAGAGAATGAAGTGGCCGATTTCTGGACTGTAGCATTTTCAGACTGCCTTGGAGGTTGTTTTTAAAATATAACAGTTCCTCTCTTAAGAAGGGAAATAAACTAGGACATCTGGTCTCCTGTGCTGAGTTACTTTCAAGTAAAAAAACTTTTTAAGAATCATTCAGGATTATGATCCCCACCTTCCCCATCTGCAACTGAATTGGTACATTTCAAGAATTTGTCACCTTATTCTCCAAAATGCATAGATTATCAGGAAAAGTTAAAACAAAAAGTGAGCCAAAATCCACAAGCCTGAAGCAGAGCTGTGCCTATTCAGTGCTTCCAAAAATTACAATAACGATGCTTAATTAATGCCCCAATTTGCATATATTAGCATAAATCTGAATATTTGAATATTCTGCTTCTACTAATCATGGAGAAAGACAAAAGGCACTAACGCCACCCCCACCCCCCCACACCTTTCTCAGAAATCCCACACAGTTTATTGGAGCCATAAATCAGAGTTGATTTCTCAAGGTTTGCAATACTCTTATTTGAGTTCTTTGCAGTGCAAACGCAGTCCTTTAAGACAGTTTTTCAAATATGTCATCTCTACTTAGGGCTGCCAAGTGGGGGCGGGGAAACCCCCACTTTGGAGGCCCGATTTCCGCTGCGGTGGAATCGGGCCCCGGGGGGAACTCCGCCCCACGAAGCTGCGTCACCAGAGGTGACGCGTGACGTACAGCACATTGGGGGCGTGGCCCAGATCGGGGGGGGAACCATATGTTCCCCCCCCCGATGATCTGGGCCATGCCCCCAACGTGCTCTACGTCATGCGTCACTTCCTGTAACGTTCTGGCGGTGCGCGCACGCTTTGCACGCACACGCATCCCAATGCAGCTCCCGGATCGAGGAGACGTTCCCCCACCGGTGAGTCAAAAAGACTTGGCAACCCTATCTCTACTGGCTTTTTAACTCCATGAAGGAGACCTTCTGGTGAAAATGCATCAGGAATGAATGCCAATTAGTTTCATAAAAATGTTGGGAGACCCATCTGGAGTAGATTTTCTTTTTTATGTGAAGGGGTTGCCCTTTTAACAGGAGGCCATTATCCACCACCATCGCGGCTTTCTCTCACATAGAAGGCTACGGTGAGTAATTCCAAATCTGAACAGCTACACCATGTGGGCAAGTTTATTGGGGGGGGGGGATTCTGAGCTCCTGGTTTTGCACCAACACAATTTTTTTAAAAAAAGAACGAGTCAATAAAAAAGGCGGCATTCTTCCATCCAGTTTCAAGAACCAGAATATCCTCCTTGAAAGTTTAAGTACTAAAGTGACATCCCAAGGTGCATTATGCCAAGTTTCCAAGAAATTGGGCTGCCAACCTCCAGGCAAGGCCTGGAGATCTCCTGGTATTACAATGCATCTCCAGACCACAGAATTCAGTTCCCCTGGAGAAAATGGCCACTTTGTAAAGTGGACTCTACAGCACAGTATCCTGCTGAGGTCCCTCCCCTCCCCAAACCCCACCCTCCAAATCTGCAGTTATTTCCCAACTCAGAGCTGGCAATCCTACCAGGAAATGATTCAGGCAACAGATAACCAATGTTTCCTGCCCAGTGTATTGTGCAGTTCTGAATTATGGGCAATTTTGCTGACTCACACATGGAAAATATACTGAATCCTTTCCACATATATGCACATGACGCTACCCATTTTGTCCACCTCTCGGACAACCACCCAGTTATCGCCACATCTTGGATTCCTTCCCATGACCGTAGGCCTGGCATGCTACCAAAATCAGCTCAACGAAGAGACAATAATAAAGAAGCACGTGTCAGCAGAGGAGCACATGGTGTCCTTGTGCCTGTCTCTTGCCTCCTTCAGCATTCTGGTTTGTTGAGTATTCAAGAAAGGTCCGCCATGGCTAGAGATGTGAAGGCCCGGGAAAAAAACGGAAAAATTTGGGGGGGGAATGGGGTTTTTCCATTTTTTTCCTGAAGCTTTTTTCTTTTTTTCCGAAAAATTGGAAAAATTTAAAAAAGAAAAAAAAATGATTATGGAACATTTTATTTTAACATGATGAATAAAATATTTTAAGACAAGGTGTTCAAATATTTTCCAAATCATTTCTAATATATATATATATATATGGTATCAGATTGATCTAATTTCTCTGCACTGCGGACAAACAAGTCCTAGGTTACAAACTGAACTCTCCAATGCAAGAACAAGATGCATTTCTTCCTTTAGGAGGTGCGATTGTCAGAAGAAAAGAAAAAGATTTCAGTTTTGTTTTTGCATGTGGGCGGGTATTCTGTTTGTAATAATTGTTTGGATACACTATATTTTTAATATGCTAGTTGTGATAATTTCATGCCAAGTAAAAATGTCCATAGTCATATTTTATGTTCCTAAAGTAACAGAACGACTTTCAATCTAGAAAAGAAAAAAGAAATGCTAATGTAGCATTTTTTTTCAATTTTCCCGAAAAGTTCCGTTTAAAAAAAGAAAAAAAAAACGGGGGAAAAACGGGGTTTTTTTCCGAGCTTCAAAATTTCCGGAAATTTTACATCTCTAGCCATGGCTAGGAGCTCCCGGTGATATACACAAAGATTTCTGGGGACAACAGTGCTGAGCACCTCACAACAACTTCCTCTGGTGCAACGAGCTTCAATTTCCCTAATTCCTCTAACTACGCAGAACCAAATGTCACTCAAAAATTTATACCAGAGGTTAACTCAAACTGCAGTTGTACTACAACCGTCATTTGTCTTCCCCCAATAAATCTCAGATCTTAACAACAGAGTACTGGAGCAACATCTCAAGGCCTCCTCTAAGGTCACCACAGGAGGGGCCTGTACTTCAACTTGACCTCTCATGGCTCTAGATAAAGCATGATTATGGATAAACCTGGTCCACTTATTGAAGTCCTAGATATTTGCAGTACACCTTCCTTCGTGATCCATCATGAAACACTGATGAACACTTCCTAATAATGAATCAGATCACTGGTCTAACTAGTTCCCTATCGTTTGCTCCGAGGCCATGGCTCTCCAGATTAGCAAGGAGAAAATAATCTTCCCCAACACTCGTTACTGAAGATCCTTTAATTGGAGGTGGAAGGAATGGCATGTGGGGTTTACTTCTAGCAAAGCATGTGCTCTGCCACTAAGGTACAGCCCCCTTTGCAATAGACCATATGGATCTGGATGAGATAACATTATAATGTGGTATAAGCCAGCTTCACAGAAATGCACAAGAGTGCCCCGGTTTCCACCTATAGAAGTTGAAAGGTATCATGGATGCTTGACTTAGAACTAGACTTGAATGTTGGCCTACAACTTTGACTTCCTCTGGTCATGTGGTCTTTCAGGAAAGGGCATGAAAATAGCTTTGGATGTTCACCAATTCTTAGGGTTTTCTTCCTAACCATAATAGAGGGCCATTTGTTCTTCAGGCGATTGCCTCCTAAATCTCATTTAAACCTTGTGAATTCATCGTTACAGATCAGATTCTACCCTTTGCCTGGCCACTGCACATTCCAAGATGCTTGATGTGTGTAAACAATCTACCAATTTGTGTTTAAAGTCGAGCAGCCCAGTCCTGTCCCCATTTACACAGTAACAAGTCCCACCAAATCCACTGGGACTTACTCCCAAACGAGGAGTGCAGTGCGGCTTCAGCAGGGGTCGTTTCGTAGAAAAAGAGCTAGGGGAACTCATTAGCATATGCCACACCCCCTGACATAACCGGAAGTGTGTCATAAGGCCACACACCCTGACATCACCGGAAGTGTGTCATAAGGCCACACACCCCGCCCCCAATGGTCCCGGCCGCCACTGGCGGCCTTGCAGCTCCACTGCCGAGGCCCATGAGGGGCCCGGTGGTGGACCTGCAAGGCCGGCAGGAGTGCAAGGAAGCCCCGCAAAGGCCCTCCCTGGCCCCAGGCAGGCAGGGGTGGGGAGAGGCAGGGAGGAAGCAACTTACCCTACCTCTTCTCCTGCCTCCTCCTGGCTGAATGAGGGCTGGAAGCGGGGCGGCCGGAAGCAGGGGCAGGGCTTCGTCATGTGCCCCGCCCCCGTACCTCACTTGGGGGAACTGCGATCCCCCGCAATCCCCTCCTGAAATGACCTCTGGGCTTCAGAGACTTAAGGTGAAGCGACCAGAAAATAAAAGGTATCATACCTATCAGCACTCGAGCTGACCCTGGCAATATCAGCAATCCAAAGCACACAGATAATTTTCCTAAATGAGGACACTGGAATATCCGTCTCCCAGAAGATGATTTGCAGTTTTGCTACATTTTTACTCCTCGAATTGCTTGCTGCCGGACGGCTGCTCACTGTACTTAGGTTAATTTAGAATAAATCGTTTTAAGTGCTGTAATACGTAGACACTTTTGCAAGTTCAGCCCTATGAGTTTTCCTGTCCTGCATACATTCTCTAAAAGCTGCAGCTAGATTTAACGCTTTGGGGGAGCAGAACATTCCCTTCCACTTACCCGTACGACATAGTTGAATCGCCTGGAATCCAGAATAGCGTTTGAAAAATCAAGTCTGTTGAAAGCTTCTCCAAGGGTGCAATAGCCGTGACGCTGAGAATAGAGGGAAGAAGTGGGGAGAAAACACTTTGTAAAGTACTGGTGTTGAAGGTTCTGAACAAGGCCCAAAAAGAAAAGAAAAACAAGGACATGGCCTGACACTCGCACTGTCAAACAACATTAATGCTGTTGATGTCAATGGAAAGGTTTATATCACCAGAGAACGGGCTCTAAGGTAACACAGCTGAGCTACATATTCACCAGAACCACACGGTACAGCCTTCTTTCTGCTATACAGCTAAGCTAGAACGCCCTGACCTGGATAGCCCAGGCCAGCTCAATCTCCTCAGATCTCGGAAGCTAAGCAGGGTTAGCCCTGGTTAGTATTTGGATGTGAGACCACCAAGGAAGTCCAGGGTTGTGACGGAGAGGCAGGCAACGGCAAATTGCCTCTGAATGTCCCTTGCGCTGAAAAGGCTACAAGGTCACCATAAGTCGGCTGCAACTTGAGGGCACTTTCCACCACCAACAAGCTCGTTCTCCAACAGGCTAGATTCCCACAGACTGCTTTGTTTTTACATGGGAAGTGTTCAGATGTGCTGTTGTCCACTTACAAGCTAAAGTAGTACAATCCCAATACAACCAACCACAAAATCCATGAATGGGTAGAATAGTTCAGGGGTCCTCAATCTTGTTGAGTCTGTGGGGACTCTTGGAATTCTGAGAAAGCTTAGTGGGCACTACAGCAAAATGGCTGCCATTGGAGGTAGGAATCAATCACAACATGGCTCCCAGGGGGTCACTTTCAGAATGTTGGCAGGTTCCAAGGCAAGCATCTTCTTATGATGGGGACTCCAAATGGGCAATTCCCCTCAGACCTAAAGGCGATGCTTCCTGGACTCTTCTGAAGCACCTCCTGACATAGGAGAGGAAAGTCAGAATTTGACTCTTTGTTTTGGAAATAAGTGTTTTGTGAAAGAAGCAAAGGGGTGCCAGGAAACTCACTGGTGGCACCATGGTGCCCCTGGATACCACACTGAGGATCACTGGCTCAGTTCCCAGATCAAAACCAATACCTCCAATAAAAAATACACTAGTCTTAGCCATTAGTAAAGATAAAGGTTCCCTTGCTCGAAAGCCAGTCGAGTCCGACTCTAGGGTTGCGGTGCTCATCTCCGTTTCAAAGCCGAAGAGCCAGCGCTGTCCGAAGACGTTTCCGTGGTCGTGTGGCCGGCATGACTAAACACCAAGGCGCACGGAACGCTGTTACCTTCCCACTGAAGTGGTACCTATTATCTACTTGCAATTTCTTGCTTTCAAACTACTAGGTTGGCAGGAGTTGGAACTGTAGACGGGCGCTCACTCCGTCATGCGGCACACTCGGGTCTCGAACTGCTGAACTACCGACCTTCCACAGCCTGCAGTTCAGCGTCTTAACCACTTGAGCCACTGCAGCTCCAAATGTCTTAGCCATTACCAGATAGTTATAAGCTACTCTGGCTGTGATACATTGGGAGATCATGCTGTCTAATGCAGAATTAAAAACTATAAAACTTACTTCTTTTGTGCTTCCCTTGTGTACGTAAATCCATTTTTCTTGATGAAAATCTGTTCAAGCAAAAAGCATAATTGCCTTAAAATCACAAATTTTGAACTCACTCTAATGTGCTCCTTTCTATTTGGGTTTTAATTTTTTCACCCTGGATTGCAGAGAAGCAGAAGGTGGAACAAAGTTATTCGTTTTGCTTCTGAAGTCTCTGCATTGGACTAACAATGTTTCAGGGAGTGTTACTGAAATATGCACACACCCTTCTCTCTGTAGGTATACACCCAATGATTTTGCATGCTTTTATAAACCTCTGGAAAGACGGCATGTAAATTTGTAGTAAACAAGCGACGTATCAGAATTTCGTATTATCAGTTAATATTTTAAAGGTGTCCATGTTTCAATGCCTTCAGTTCCCTGGCTCTCAACAAATAATGTCGCTTGCCAGCTACTCAAATCGGTAAGAAATCGCTGGATACGCTAGCCATTGATTTTATTAATTCTGCTGAAAAGACAGATCTGAAAACGGTCTAAACCAGGGGTCCCCAAACCTTTTGAGCTTGTGGGCACCTTTAAATTCTGACACGAGGTGGTGGGCCCAAGCACAAAATGGCCACCATGAAAGGCGGAGCTACACACAAAGTAAGCCCAAGCGCAGGGGACACGAGGAGTAATTTTAAAAAATACACGGGGAAAGAGCAGTGAGAAAGAGAATAAAAGCAACACTGTAGTGGTTAACTGCCACCAAATTTTAATTTACCCAGCCAATCAGATCTCCAGTGGCCAATCACTGGTGGGAGAAAATGTTTTAAAAAGAAGATTCCTAGAGCTACCCTATGTCACTTCCAGGTTTTTGCTTGAAGCTATTCCAGGCTATTTGCTTGAGGACACTCTAGCTCTGAGTAAGATAGCCACACAGGTGCTTTTTGGACCAGGATTGGAAGATATTCTAATTCAGCAACTGTGCATTTGGCACCAGACACATGACTCATCTTTTGAGGCCTCACGAACATCTTTGTCTTGTGTCTATTGATCTTGCTGCTTAACTTTCCTTTTCTTGGTCCAGTATTAACTTATTGGTTACCTTATTGTAATATGTGATATTGTAACGTGTACCTCAAACTGCTTGACCTCTGAAGAAGGCCCCCAATAGGGCGGAAACGCTTCAGGTCATGTGTATTGGCCCTTGTGTTCAGGCCACTTGAACTTTTCAATGAGGCTTTCACTGGTCCTTTGTTTGTTTTTAACTGCGTTTCAAATAAATACATGTATTTCTGAATATTTATACTAGGTTTTTAATATTGGCTTACCCTTGTGGTTCTTACTTCCAGGTTTTCCCCAGAAGTTCATGTGACATCACAGTGCCCATGTTCCCTCCCTCAAACTTCCAGCTAGTTGCCAAGCACAGCCTGGCAACCCTGGAAAAACCTGTGGTATGATAGATTGCATCATTTCAGACTGTTTGTGAAGGATTATAAAGGAGCCTATTCTGAAATGCTCCTCACTGATAAAAACTCCTCAAATTTTAAAAAAAAGATTGACAAAGACACAAGCGAAGGTAAAACCTTTCTTCCTGCTGTTTAGTTTTCCATCTGCACGGAGCTTCATACATGAAGGAATGTCCATAGATGGGGTCCATCACCTGAAGTCTCACACAGGACAGTCCATTCTGTCACCTCATTCCCCTACGTGTATCAACCAGGCCACAAATGAAATCCTAACTGGAAAATTATTCATTTCTGCTTTTCCCCCACATAGCACCTTTTCCCCTAATCTACATTTTCCCATTTGGGCTGTCACTGGCAGGTTACAAAATAACCCACGAGAGGGATTTATTTTAATGTCTTTCAGTCATTTTATGTTTTTTAGCCTTCTTTTCAAACATTCATCATCTTGAGTATTTGACAAATATTGTTAAAGAAACAGACATGGACGTACAAATGTCGCACACAGGGATGTGTACATGCAAGAAGGGGAAAGAGGAAGAAGTTGGAACCGGTTCACTTGAATGTACCATCGGAAAAAATTGCTCTCCTCCTGCCAAATGTGAACGATAAAAAATAAAATCTGAACTAAAAAAAAAGCACGAAGCAAGGATTAATATCCCAGGCATAAGTCTCCATGCTGAAATGGATCCAAGTTTTCTGGCTAAAGGTCAAAACATGGGTGCAAAATCTCTCCAGAGACTTCTGGAAGAGCTGCAGAGGTCATTTCATTGTGTGAGAAGTGGAGGGTTTTTTCCCCCAAACAATGATGTTTGTTGTTATTTTGGGCAGCTTTAAAAAAAAGAAATAAAACATCTCCCCAGTCAATGTCTTACACTGAATCTTTGTCTTGTTGTTCAGTTGGTCTTTCTTTCTCTTCTTTGCAGCGATGTCACAGTTGATGCTGTTGAAAATGTTCTCCTTCTCATAGTCTTCTTTTCTGCAGTAACTGCGGATGACATCAGAAAAGGGGGAATATTTTTAATTTCTTTTGCATTGATTGAAAATTGAACTTTCTCCCTTTTAATACAGGAATAATACTGCAATATCCTGGGGGAGGAGAAGAAGAGGAGATTGGATTTATACCCCACCCTTCACTACCCGAAGGAGTCTCAGAGCGGCTAACCATCTCCTTTCCCTCCCCACAACAGACACCCTGTGAGCAATGCTCCCTCTAAGCTGTGAAGTCTTGTGAGCAAGAATTCTACTTTGTGAGCTGCTGGCATTAAAGTCGTGAGCGAGTAATTTGGCTACATAAATTAGTTTTCTCTGGAGCCACCCTTCCTGAGCTAAGACAAAAAAGTGTGAGCCAGAGGCTAAAAAACTGTGAGCTAGCTCACTCTAACTCAGCTTAGAGGAAACACTGCCTGTGAGGTATGTGGGGCTGAGAGAGCTCTTTCAAGAACTGCTTGTGAGAGAACAGCTCTGAAAGAACTGTGACTGACCCAAGGTCACACCAGCTGGCTGCATGTAGAGGACAACTCCAGGACCCAGCTGGATATTGGCAACCCAAAGACCACCCCAGGGGTATCTAACAGGAATTTACTTGGAACAGAATATGTTCTGTTCTATAGCCCAAAGCCTCTCTCCTTAGCATGAAATGAGTTAAGAACATGAGAAGAGCCCTGCTGCATCAGACCGTCTCATCTGGCATCCCTTTTCACTCAGTGGCTAACCAGTTGCCTTGTAGGACCAACAAACAAGATACAAAGGCCAAGACCTTCTCCTGACGTTGCCTCCTAGCAACGTTCAAAAGTTTACTGCCTCCCAGTTAAGTTCAGAGACACAAATGCTCACCGAGTAATTGATTTCATTTCAAAACTGTACACACACACACATGCACAAACACACAAAAGCTTCTACCCAGAATTAAAAACTTTGTTGGTCTTAAAAGGTGCCACTGGACTCAAACTTTGTTCTGTTGCTTCAGAGCAACATGACTACCCACCTGAATCTACACACACACACACATATGTGCACACAGAGCATTCAAACTTGAACGGAATTAGTAACTTTCACCTCGGCTTTCATCCAGGCAAGCGCAAGTTGCCAAAGGGACACAAGGAATGTTTTCCCAACTGTCTGGTAGCTGAACATACATTAAACAATCCCCTATTAGTCTAAAGATCTGTATTAAAATCCTTAACATCTGAGCCTACTAAATGCATCTTCATCTCACCACCCAGCACAACTGCCTGTTCCCAGCACAGAACTGTGGTCTAATTGGCTCCTGCAGTTATGCATAAATGATTATAATACTTCCATCTCAAGGGCACAAGGCATCTTGTAGCCTACAAAATGTATCTGCAACTTTCATATGTTAGCATGCTGGTGTACAAGTGACTCTCTCAGGAAGGCTGAACCACTTGGGTGAAAACCGAGGTTTGAATCCCCACTCCACTGTAGAGGCTTGCTGAGAACTCTTTGGCCAGCCCCACACACTCGGTCTAACCTAGGGCTGCCAAGTGGGGGCGGGTGGCAGGTAAACCCCCGCTTTAGATGCCCGATTTCCACCGCCGCGGAATTGGGCCCCGGGGGGAACCCCGCCCCCCGAAGCGCAGCGTGGCTGCGTCACCAGAGGTGACGCAACCACGTAGAGCACGTTGGGGGCATGGCCCCGATTGGCAGAGGGAAAACTCTATGGTTTTCCCTCTGCCGATCGGGGCCCCGCCCCCCAAGTGCTCTATGGTGTGCGTCACCTGTGACGTGCAGGCGGCGCGCGCGCACCTCCCACAGCGACTCCCGGAGCCCAGGGACAGTCCCCCGCCGGTGGATATAAACGACTTGGCAACCCTAGTCTAACCTCCCTCACGGGGTTCTTGTAGAATTTGCCAGCCCTCAGGTGGGGGCCTGGAGGTCTCCAGACTACAGACATTGATTCTCCTGGAGAAAATGGCCACTTTGGAGGATGGAGTCTGTGGCACTATGATGCACGGAGGTCCCTCATCTCCTCAAACCCCTGCTCTCCCCAGGCTCTATCCCCAAATCTGCAGGGATTTGCCAGCCTGGAGCTGACATCCTTAGGTTCCAAGGAGGAGGAGGAGATTGGATTATGCGCCACCCTTCACTACCCAAAGGAGTCTCAGAGCGGCTTACAAACTCCTTCCCCCCCCCTCGACAGACACCCTGTGAGGTAGGTGTTGAGAGAGCTCTTTCGAGAACTGCCCTTGAGAGAACAGCTCTGAAAGAACTTATGACTGACCCAAGGTCACACCAGCAGCTACATGTGGAGGAGTGGGGAATCAAACCAGTTCTCCCGGATGAGAGTCTCAATGAAAGAGAAGAATGATGTAACAGGTCACCATTGAAAATCTCACAAGGGGTTGCCGTACATCAGCTGTGACTTGACAGCACTTTAGTATTGTGTGTGTGTGTGTGTCTGTGTGTGTGTGTGTGTGAAGTGTCGTCAAGTTGCTTCCGACTTATGGCAACCTGATGAATTAATTACATCAAAAATGCCCTATCGTTAACAGCCTTGCTCGGGTCTTGCAAAACTGAGGGCCGTGGCTTCCTTTGATTGAGTCAATCCTTCCCGTGTCGGGTATTCCTCGTCTCCTGTTTGGTGTAGTGGTTAAGTGTGCGGACTCTAATCTGGGAGAACCGGGTTTGATTCCCCACTCCTCCACTTGCACCTGGCTGGATGACTTTGGGCAAGCCATAGTTCTGGCACAGCTGTCCTTGAAAAAGAGCAGTTTCTGTCAGAGCTCTCTCAGCCCCACCTACCTCACAGGGTGTCTGTTGTGGGGAGGGGACGGGAAAGGAGTTTGTAAGCCGCTCTGAGACTCCTTTGGGCAGTGAAAGGCGGGGTATAAATCCAATCTCCTCCTTCAGAACATAACTTCACCTTGTCCCAGCAACTTCATTATTATCCCGGCCCATTTGGGCCAAGGTGAGAGAAGAGATATTAAACTGATCGTGAAGGTCAGAATGAACCCCGCCTCTCAGCATTTCCTGTCTTGCGGGCACCTTTCAAAAGCAGGAAATTTCTGTCCCGAAAGGGGCACTTCTGGGTTCAAAATCTGGCAATTTTATAGATTGCCCCTGACGAGAAAAGGCCGCATCGTTGGCAGTCTTAGTGCTGATTATGGCGTTCACACCCATCATTACATGAAAATTGCACAATGAACCACATGACCCTTTGTGACTTTTCCTGTAACCTCCTCCTGCACCTCTGAAGTCATGCCTTCCTGCTTGTATTATGTCTAAGCAGGTGCCTTCGGGCAGGGATACACTCAGGTCTCATGCATCTCTAAGCAGCTATTCACATTTGGGAAGGTCTATAAATAACACAGGATTGGGAGCAGGGCTGGAACAACTCAGCTTATGGCTAGAGATGAGCAATACAAGACTAAGAGCTCTTACACACTTTACAGCTATCATGATGTTCAAAGCACTGTGCCCTTTTCAGACTGCCTAGGAGCACAGGATGTCATGCCTGAACACTACCTTGGGGAACAACTCATGCCAAGCCCATATGTCAGGGAGGATGTTCCTAGCATAGCCACCTCCCCATTGTACTTGTTTTCTAAATACATGGAGTGTCCCCCACCACCCTATGGAGAACATTAAAACAATGCGACCATTACATTCAGCCTGAAAACTGCGGATGGATAGAACACTGCAAAGCGCATGGATAAAACACTGCAAAAAAGCAAGCTTGCTGGGAGCTTAAGCATGTTTTCATCCAGATTCCTCATGTCCAGTGTTTCACCAATTAGTTCCTATGTCCCTGTATATTCATAAAACCACACCAGAAAGCTCCTTAACCCAACTGTATATCCAACTGCATCAAGGTTTGCTTTGTTTTTTGTAGTGTTAAGAACATCAGAACATAAGAGATGCCAATGTTGGATCAGGCCAAAGGCCCATCCAGTCCAACACTCTGTATCACACAGTGGCCAGAAATACCAGTGCCATCATGAGGTCCACCAGTGGGGCTAGGACATTAGAAGCCCTCCCACTGTTGACCCCCCCCCAAGCACCAAGAAGACAGAGCATCACTTGCCCCAGAGCCCCTATCTATATCTTGTGTGCAGTCACACACTGTCTCGACATTTTCAGTGAGTTATCTACTACAACTCCAAGATCTCTCTCTTGATCAGTCTCTGGTGTTTTATTAGTGTGCACTTGCATATCAATAATATAGAAGGAAGAAGAGTCAGATCACACATGCACTTGTACAAAGATCAGAAATTTTAAAAAATGGAACAAAGGACATAAGAAAATCAGAACCAGCCATGCTGACAGGATGATTTATCTAGTTCAGCATTCTGATTCACACAGTGGCCAACCAGATCTCCTTGGAAGGTCTGTTTGGAGGCCAAAGCCTCTCCAGGTTATTGCCTGCTCCCCAGCACTGCTATTCAGAGGGTTTGTGCTGGGTGACCCTGGGCCAGTCACAATTCTCTCAGAGCTCTCTCAGCCCCACCTACCTCACAAGGTGCCTGCTGTGGGGAGAGGAAGAGCAGGAGACTGTAAGTCACTTTGGGACTCCTTTGGGTAGAGAAAAGTGAGGCCTAAAAAACAACTCTTCTTCTTTGTATGGTCTCTGTATTACTGTTTTGCAATTTACGTTTTAGGATACGGTGAACTGTATTGTCTTGCGGACAAGAGATGATTTTTGTTCTCTGAACTTTCTCAAACACTATGGAAAATATTCTTAATGAACCCATTAACAAGACACAGCAACAGGGCTTAACGCAGGTTTAACATCACCGTGGCTGCATAATTGGTCTGAATGCGTCTAAAAACAACTATCCGCAGAATGGACACATACGGCTGAGCTGACAATTGTGTCAGGCTAACTGGACGGAACTAAAATTATATGTAGGTTATCAAATGCACGCACTAATTATTCTTCTTATATTATGAGAGCATGGCCCAGGTCATTAACTCAAGGACAATTAAATCCTCTGTTGCAGGAAGATATCAGGTTCCCGCTTTCTTCTG